GCCTGGAGGTTCAGACCGGCTGGCCAACGCTGCCTGGAGCTTCAGACCGGCTGGCCAACGCTGCCTGGAGCTTCAGACCGGCTGGCCAACGCTGCCTGGAGGTTCAGACCGGCTGGCAAACGGCGGCCGGGACGAATGGGCGCGTTCGAACTCATCACAGACGAGCCCATACCACTCGTGTCACGCTTGGGTGGGCTGGCCGGGCTACGCTGTGGGCGGAGAAGACACTTCTATCTCTGGTCCGACTAGGGCTGCTTGTCGGGATGCACTGGCCTCCAAAGATACGGAAGCGTCTATGCTGGAAATGCTTGTTCGCAGTGAAGTGCTCGAAAATGCTCGTTGTCACTGCTTCACTGCACGTCAAGCAGAGATTATTCACCTGCATGGATTGGACATACGTGATTGACCTGCTTCTCAGCTAAGTGCATAGCCTGGGTCGGTACACTGGAATTAGTTAATATGCCGTTCCATTTCTAGAACTTCATTGTTCGGTGTCAATCATTGATGTTGACGTCCCCCGGACCAACCAAGAACCGCAGGAGAGCGCAAGTTCGAGTCAATGTAGAACACACCAGAGGTCCATATTTGGCCACGGTGGGGGTCGTGGTCTTCTGGACCGCTCCAGAAGGTGAGGTGCCTGCAAGGTCCGATCAGGTCATGATTTCGTGGTTTTCTGAAATTTTAGCATCGCTTGACAAACGCTTGATCGTAAGACAGCAGTCATAGCCTTATTCCTCGGAGAAAAACCAGGAGATTAGAGAAAAAGATTGGCTAAATAAATCCGTTCCATCTTTCTCCTGGTTTTGCTCCGAGGAATAAGGCTATTACTACCGTCTTATCCATGTGAATAATGTACCTCGCGAATGCACTGAACAACTTGCAAGCGTTCGATTGTGATGAATTGGAGCTACGCACCTCTAGGGCTCAGTGATGCCCGTGATGCCTGAGAAGGCCCTAAGACTTTTATCACTGTTGCTGCCCTTCGCAAATTTTCCTCGCTGTGGGCCTTTACCTGGCGTTACAGGTGAATGTCGTAAGTGCCCAATGACTTCACTCTTTTCTTAGGCCGCTCCTTTTAAAGACAGCCCCGAATAGACGAGCAAGACCGGTAGCTCTTAGTAATCCAGGAGCATGCCGACAGCAAGATTGTTTGCGGTTTGAGCGATCGTCACCCGAACATTAGCGAGCTCAAAAATCCTGATTGTTTGTAGCAGTATAAATTCTAGAGAAACTTGGGATAATATGCCTAAGAAAGATTGAGATTTATATGTTTGTGATCAGTAGCTGATTATTGTTGTATCCATCGAGGGTTAAACCTAAGATAAGATAAAACACATGCTGAAATCAGCTGTGCATGACTGCTGCTATGGGTGATTATACACCTGTGGTTATGTCTAAAGCTAGCGCAAATTGTTAGTTTCATTAATGCATGAAACTGAACAGCTTGCATTGTTGCAAATGACAGTGCATTTTCGTAGCTTGGAGTAACAGATCAGAAAACTGATCGATAACGATGCTTTAGAGCAAAATAATCGCATTCGCAAAGGCATTCTGACTGCCACACTTATGACAATTTGAAAACGTCATGACCAGCAACCATGTGTGTGAATTTATTCAAGGCACTTTGTTTCTCAGTTACAAGCCATGTAGGCGGTTCTCTGACAAACTAAAGGAGTGTTTTAGCTGGACAACACAGTTAGAACTAGGAAAAACCATGTGGATTTCGCAAAGAAACGTATTCTACCTTTCAAAATTTTGTGTTTTGCGAGCTTCTGTGAACGGACCAACAATTCAGGACAAAATCAGTGACTTGACTACACGTTTGGGAGCATTAGCCAATTGTTGAAAACGGATGAGGTACATTTTGAACACAGTAACTTACCTTACCTGGACCTCTTCCCGACCTACGTGCAATGGAAGTCCCAACCTTAGGTAAGAGAGGAAATGCTGTTGAGTTATAAAAACAGAGGTATGGATCAGCTTATTCATGCTCAGGTAAATGTGTTTTATATTTGACAGTTCCCTGGGTGTGTTCGTATCTTATGTGAATGGGGTACGCTTATGCACGTGGCGACCATTAAAATAGAGCTATAACGTCACTTAGTATTTCTGGTCCAGGTTTTGCTGTCCTTTTTCGATGAGTTGCGTATTTGATTTTTCAGGGGCGTTGATGGAACAAAAAATTGATGTCCGTGAAGTTGGCGATTTATTTAGCGATTTATTCAGCGATGAGTTCTGATTTGTTTGAAAAGGGCACAATCTGAATTATGACACGAGAACATCGAAAGTAACCTTTGTTTGCCACAACAGAAAAACTAGCATCTGTCAAAAAGTTATGACCTAAAGCCACCCTCAAGGTCAAACGCGAGCGGACAAACGGGAACTAGTTTGATGGAGACCAGTCCTTTCTGTGGTGTATATTCTGATGCTTGCAAGTTTAAAATCGGCTAGTAATTTTTGGATCATACAAATTTCCCGGTCCTTTGGGCCCGCGTTTGACTTTGAAGGGTGATTTTAGGAAGTTGGGACTTTTTTACGGATGCTAGCTCTTTTTGTGCGGAATATTCTGATATTTGTAGGTAAGAATTGGCCCGAGATTTTTGGGTGATATTCAGTTTTCCGTCCTTTGAGCGGGTGTTTGGCCTTGGAGGATAACCTTGAGAAGTCAGGACTTCTGACGGACGCTCCTTCTCTCTGTGTTAAATATTCTGGGGTCTGAAAGTTTGCGATCGGCCGGTAATTTTTGGGTGATAATGAGTTCTGCGTCCTTTAAGCCCGCGTTTGACCTGGAAGGGTGACCTTGAGAGGTCAGGAATTTTTGACGGACGCTAGCTGTGTGTGCGTGTGCGTTTGTGAATATTTCTACGCTTGTAGCTTGCAAATCGGTCGGTAATTTTTGCGTGATATCGAGCTACCGGTCATTTGACCCAGCTTCTGATGTCCTAGGTCGCATGATATTGCAAAATAAAAATCATGTTCGATATTTTTGTGTCATAATTCACATTGAAACCCTTTTTCAGAGAAATTGGAACTTATCGCTGAATGAATCGTTGAATAAATCGGTAACTTCACGGACATAAACATACTTACTTCCCCTGTCCAACGTATTTTGCTTGCGATGGTTATTTCACATTCTGTGCCTTTGTGGTTTTTAAGCAAGCATTTTGTTCCAATAGTCAATAGTAATGTTAAACTCAACACCAGCGTATAAGACAAACTAATTGTTGCTTCGTTTTGATCGGAAAAATGTTCAGTGTAGTTCTAAAGATCTATAGATAGTGTAATTTGCATGCCATTTCCATTGGGTGTCTTTTGATTTTTGTGGTCTTCTACTGTTCTCCTTTTTTAAACGTTCTGTTTAGATAGCTATGTTTAACGATCATCACATGGTTTGGCTAAGGAATCGCATACCTAAGTTTATGTCCGTCGACGCTTACACTAGTCATAATGACACGGTAAAAGGTTCAGCAAAATGCACCAAAATATACGTATCCAAAACTAGATCACACTGGGCGTTTTTCAATCAAAAGAACAAAAAAACGTGTTAGTGTCAAAGACATGCCCCGAATCACAATATTCCTGCACCTGAGGCGCCGTAGCACCTTTAGTTGCGGGCCACTATTCCCGTGATCAGCACGACTGCAGTGTTGGCAGTATTGCGATGCACTCATGTTTAGCATATCCGTCAGGAAATGTGACATTCGAACAGTCACACACCGCACGATCTATGCAAACGTCTCAGTTCTGACTGCTGTGCCTAAAGAACTGAGACTGCCAGCGACCCCGCTGCGATGGAGTACTTCCCGTGTGAGGCTTCTGGTTAGAACGTCCCGGAATGTCCCTGATGCGGCTGTTTCGTTACGGTTTCACAGTTTATCTCGTATAGTCTCCCCCATTCCTGCCTGCAATGGCTGATGGCGTTCTTGGAACTAAGATGTGACTGCTAATATCAAAGTTCCAGATGTGTATTGGACGGAGCTACAACAATAACCCTGCATTTTTTATCGAGACAGGACCGAGCGCGAAACGGCAGCAAAATAGTCATTTTTGAACTTCTTGATTAAGCAGCAATGTAATTCCAGGCCATTAAGTCCTGCCGCAACGCTGGTACCACAATAGCGTAGTTATTTCCGTTTATTAATGCGCATTTTGAAGCCCATCTTTGCATTAGTATTTCCGAGGGAAGATAGAATTTGCAAAAACTCGATGAACACCAGACGGACCAGGTGCCGCAGCCTCCTATGCACGCCAAAAGAAAATTTTGCATGGGGTCCATCCCTTTGAATTGAAACTGCCTACATTTCAAAGGATCTGTATGTCTGCGTTACCCATCGCTTTATCCGAGCCACGTCCGTCAACCCGAACCATGCCTGCGCTGGTATGCTGTGCCGCACGGTTTTGCGGAACATTATTTCCCCGCAACCAGAAATGGCGGCCTAAACTTCGCTGGCGATCTTCAAATCATCGCAAGGTCTGTCGACTGTCGTTTCCACTACTAAGTGAAAACTGGAATAGCTTGCCATTTCACTGCTACTGAATCGCGAAAGGCTGAAATGGTTCAGAGCCAATAACCAAAAATCTCGCCACAATAGTTTTGTTCCGGTCCGCTGATGCCTCTATGGTTGTACGAATAAGACACATATATTCCATTGATTGGCAACCGAAGTACTTTTCAACGGGCACGATTTATGACAACAGGCACAATAATAGCGTGCGTCATGAGTGAACTGGTAATTATAGCTACTAATGATGGTCCGTTAGCCACACGTTTTTTTTTGCAAATCATTAGCCCAAGTCCACATTAATCAGCGCCGCCCAATCTATGTGGTACGGCGAGCTTGTGAGCCGGCGTAGAGCTGGCCGAGCGGCGGCACTCACCCGTCCTGCTGCTCCTGCCCATCGGCCGCCTCCAGGTCAGCGGCCGCCGCCGGCGCTGCAAGGGCACCGCCCGCGTCAGGCCGGCGGGCAGTGCTGATGACCAGGTCATTGGTCCTCTGTTGGCCATGATAGGCCGAGAACCCGAACAACGAGGTGGTGTTACAAGCGCAACAAGCTCGGGTTCAGCACGCATTGCGCGTGACACGGCCTGTAAATAACGCTGGTAAGGAAACATAACAGCAATCATAAATATTTTCGGCCTAGCACTGGTCCAACGGGGAAACGTGCCCAAGCAAATAACAGACATGTATGGTACGCAGCTTCATGGCCTTGTACGACGTTGACCAATACATGCCAAGTGCATTTGTGCTGACGGATTTCCCTGGCTCAATCAGGATGCAAGTCAGATCAAACAGTTTTAGTCTATTAAGGAACAAAACCGGCGTCGAACTACTTTTTCTAGTCTATGCTACATGCAGTGGATTTAGGCTAACAGCAAAAAAGTCAAGTATGTTTGTCAACATATCAGAGGTTGTCTCTGTGCATTAACGTTAAATTTATTATCCATCACTTTTCGACCTTTCAATGCAATTCAGAATCACTCATCAGTCTGGTGAAATACATCTAGATCATCTGAGAATGTTCGTTCAAACGTTGCCCAATCGTGCATGTGTCTTTACGATGCAACAGAGGAAAGAACAAAAATGACACGGACGCTATAATCCTTCAGGAAACAGGGGCCAGCCGAGTTATTTTGCATATCTGACACTTTGAAGTGTAGCTTTGCAAAATAGGGCTTGACAGTGACAAGCTCGTTTCATTTACTTTCATGTTCGGCAGTGAGCACGGGTATATCTTTGGAAAGGCTGCAACCTATGATTCAAATAGCCCGAAGCATAGAACAAAGAAACGTGATTCCTTATTGGATCAATCCAACCACCTCACTTCTGAGCTCTCGACGCTGTGTCTGTACTTGGCTAATGGCTAACCTTAAAAAAAACACATGTTTGAATTAAGAATATCTGTGCACAATAGCTGCCGATTTGACCAGGTTATGAAAGCAATGTAATCTGACAAAAACATTGAGGGCTGCATGTTCAGCACTGGGAGACAAGGAACTCTGCCTGCTGGAGCGTGTGCTAGTAAAACATTAATAGAATGCTGTAAAGTGTCAAGCATTTGATCACGACCTCTTGGCTTCATGGCAACAGTACCTCCTTCTGTCAGGCCGAGTTCGTCTAAATCTAGCAGGCACTGGCAACCGGGGAGTCCACAGCTTTTGAATTTTAACAGAGCAGGCTCTGTCCCAGAGTGAGGTAGACTGTGAGCACATGAGACCATCACGCACACAAGCACCGACGATGCCTATTCAGGTACATATATTTAGATGAGTATCAGACAAAATACGACAACGCAGGTTAGATTAAAACAGTGAGGTATGCGATTTATAGCAGCAAGGATTATTCTGGTAAGCTGGCAATGACGAAAGCATTAAGTGCTTTGAGCCGACCACGGCAGAAACGCTGCGGAGCAAGGCTCTGATGACGTCAGATTTGCGATTATTCTGGTAAGCTGGCAATGACGAAAGCATTAGTTACTTTGAGCCGACCACGGCAGTAACGCCGCAGAGCAAGGCTCTGATGATTTTATATTTGCTTTGAACCACGCATCCAAGGTCATACAACCATGATGGCATGCGAGTTGTTATATACATATCTGAATATTTACACCCGTAACTGCACCTCTCAGCCCTGCTTGATAGACTGCCCAAAAGCTTAATGCTTCTCGTGTTCATCAGTAAAGATTGGTTCAAGAAAGTTGTTGAGATCCTGCGTGGAAGCATATAATTTCGTTTCAATCACTGAGAGCGACTAAAATGTATTACACGATGATTGCTTTTGTTTTAAGTGGAAAGTTATGCAATCATTTATTACCATGAAGTAACGACTGAGGCATTGCTGCAAATGAATTAAGCTAATGTGCTAGGCGGTCGTCAGTGTACAATTGATAGGAACGTTTTGCGTTTTCCAGTACAACTCCAATTTCAGCGTCAGGTCCAAGAACACGTTGTTTTTTATTCAAACACAAGACTTTGCGTAATGCTCTTCCGATCAGTAATGCTAATCTGTGTTCCCAGTTCCCCTCTCCGTACACGATAGCATCACCAGAGCAATGTGGTTGGAAGGTAGGCCGTGTGGGGAATCCTACACCGAGAAAGTACCTGCTTCACGGAAGAGTGTTAGGTCGACGCCTGGTGATGTCATGATCGAAAGCATCAATACCAAAACACAAAAATAGCGTTAGTTTTTTGCTTCTCTGTGTCGAAGGCTGAGGTTTTAAAAATTGAGGTTACCTCTTGCAAGTGAGATTTGAAGAGAACCTTGAAATTTTAAGCTCAGTGCCCTTCAAATTGTCAAATCCTTTCATGTTTAGTGGTCTGATGACTTAGGGAGAGAGTCGGGGCTGAGCAGACAAAAAACAAATTAATATACAAATTGCTGGATTCAGGGTGATTCAAAGCCCAGATGATCAGAATGCTCGGTTCTCAAACAGCAGTGAAAATTGTTCTGGAAACATTGATACGACGAGCATATACTCGCCATGTTGTCAATCACCTTCACAATATCAAACATTTATCAGGCTTCTTATCCAGCATATTCAGTGCATAACAACCAGGAACGTACGTTGTCAAGTGAATTTGCGAGGAACACCTCGGAGAAAAACCAGGAGACGTATCCTATCTCCATTCTTCCGGTTTTTATAAGGCCATCACTACTGTCTTAAATATAACGATCAGAAACGGCGCAAATTACAAGACTGTAAAACATAGATAGGTGGCTAGTCGTGCCATAAAGACAAACCAATGTGTTGTAAGGGAAAAGGCGTTGCTGCTACCTCCCCAGCGACAATGGTCATCTCGGAGAGTACATAGCATGTCCATTGACGTAGCAATCCACTTCAACTCACTTGACTCCATCTGTTCCGACGCATCAATGACGTCATCCTCGGGCTCCTCCACGATAGGTTCCGGCTCTGGCTCTGGCTCTGACTCCTGCTTCGGTTCGGACTCGGGTTCGAGCTCGGGCTCGGGCTCGGGCTCTGGCTCCTGCACCGGCTCGGGCTCGTGCTCGGGCTCGGGCTCTGGGGTCGGCTCCTTCACAGGTTCTGGAGAAAGCTCCTTCTGAGGAGAGGCTTCCGGAGAAGGTTCTCTCTCGGGTTCAGGTTCAGGGGACGCCTCCTTTTCCGGTTCAGGCTCAGGGGTTGGCTCCCTCTCTGGCTCTGGTTCAGGGGTCGGCTCCCTCTCTGGCTCTGGTTCAGGAGTGGGCTCCTTCTCAGGCTCAGGTTCGGGAGTTGGCTCCTTCGCGGGTTCAGGGGTCAGCTCCTTCTCAGGTGAGGGCTCAGGAGAAGGCTCGGGCGTGGGTTCCTTCACTGGTTCGGGCTCAGGAGTGGGTTCCTTCACTGGTTCGGGCTCAGGAGTGGGTTCCTTCACTGGTTCGGGCTCAGGAGTGGGTTCCCTGATAGGCTCCGGTTCAGGTGTCGGCTCCTTTTCGGGTTCTGGCCCGGACGAAGGCTCCTTGAGGGGCTCGGGCTCTGGAGAGGCCTCCTTGGCCGGCTCGGGCTCGTACTCCTCCTCGGCCTCCTCCTGTACGGGCTCAGGAGGCGGCGAGGCGGCGCGGGTCGGCCGGCTCCCCTCGGCCGCGTACCCATTCGTCACCGGGCCGTTCTGTAGGTCGCCTGTGTTCATTGAGCTCTGCGGGACACGGGTGCGTTCATGAACTTCAATGCGGTGGCGGTTTGTGCAGTCTGTGATGAGCAGCGCACTGACGTACTTGTAATGTTAAATTGTACAGAAATTTGGCGTACAAAAACGTTTTCAAACATGATGTTGCTGTGGAGAGTACAATGGTACAGGTCTTAATTCGACCATTACCAATCCAGAGCAGCTACTACATCGCTACTTTTGCGTTTCGCCTTCTGGTTTAACGACATGGAACATCAGGCAACTGCCATGATGGAAGTATGACTACCTTGTCTGCACCTTTAAAGCAAGAACGGTTCCTGGTGGATTCCATTCCTTCAACACGTCCTCGCACCACGTAATAAACAATAGCATCCTCAACATGCACTTAAGTGCGGCAGGTTACCTTACGCGAGCGGCTGCGGTCCGCCCGGGGACTCCCCGCTCTGGCTCAGAGCTCCCTCTCACCCGCGCGGCTCCGGTCAACCCGGGGACTACCCTGCCCTGGCTCAGAGCTCCCTCTCACCCGCGCGGCTCCGGTCAGCCCGGGGACTCCCTGCCCTGGCTCAGAGCTCCCTCTCACCCGCGCGGCTCCGGTCATCCCGGGGACTACCCGCCCTGGATCAGAGCTCCCTCTCACCCGCCGCTCCGGTCAAGCCCTGGGGCTTCCTGGCCTGGCTCAGAGCTCCCTCTCCAAACCCGCGCGGCTTCCTGTCATCCCGGGGACCTACCCGCCCTGGATCGAGCTCACCCTCTCCCCCGCCGGCTCCGTCACTGGGGCCCTGCCCTGGCTCACAGAGCTCCCATCTCACCCGCCGGCTCCGTCAGCCCGGGACTCCCTCCCTGGCTCAGAGCTCCCCTCTCACCCGATCGGCTCCGGGGGTCAGCCCGGGACTCCCTGCCCTGGACTCAGAGCCTCCCGCCTCACCACTGCGCGGCTCCGGTCAGCCCGGGGACTCCCCCTGTGCCCTGGCTCAGAGCTCCCTCTCACCCGAGCGGCTCCGGTCCAGCCCGGGGACTCCCCGCTCTGGACTCAGAGCTCCCTCTCACCCGCGCGTATCTGGTGAGCTCGGGGTCCTCGGAGGCAGCCTTTCGGCGCGGTGGTCGCTCCCCCGTCTGGATCAGCTTGTAGACGCCTGGCAGGCCCGGCATCTGCTGCAGGCGCACTACACAGCCAGACACATGCGTTAGGCGGCGGCCTCTCGAGTACGAGGCGCACCGGGTCGACGGCGGCGGCGGCCACTGGGCCAGTCTCTCGCCACTAATCTTCTAGCTGGCAGCGCCTAAGTTGGTTGGCCATGGTCCTGGCTCGTCTCGCTCTGTTTGCCTGGTATAAGGCGAAACATAGCCTGAGACAGTCTAAGAATCCAGCCAAGTTTGGCTGGGGGCTACAGAGCCGTGCAATGGTTATCTTAAATATCACTGTTAATCGCCATCACCTGTCTCTCCCCGTGTGTAACCTTTATCTAGCCTAAAAGCATGACATTTGGGCGAGTGAATTCACATAAAACGTTTTGGTTGAAGCGAATATGGCTTCATTGACCACGCATGTATTCTCTACTATCTGCGAGATGGTAGGGAAAAAATTCAAAGCGCTCATCAATCTGACCTGTCTCCAGCTGGAAGCCTGCGGAGCACCACACGGAGCGAATCTCAGATGGAGAGATGGGAGCGCGAATTTTGAACTTTATTTTGATCAGACGGGTGGAGGGGAGAATGGGAAATGGAGGAAAAGAGGGTGACATGCGTACCTCACCGCTTCTATTGCTTGGTGCTGTACTGACCGATGCAGTCTTGGTTAGTGCAGCACACGCAATAGCAGGTCTATGGTACGCATGGCATCCCACTTTTCCTCTTATCCTTCCCGCCCCCTCCCCCCTCTTCTCACCTGATTGTGGTGAACGCTAAAATTCGCACCCCCTTCGATCCATTTACCATCCTACAACTCTAAAACCGCAAACTAGTCAGCTGTATAAGAGCTCAAGCTCATTTCTCTACCAAATAAGCTCATTGCTCTCTATGAATCTGGCGGTCTGAAAAGTTCTCTGAGAGACGCTGCATGTTCCTATGGCAACAGCTATCAAACAGACGGCCAACTGTTATTTGGCCGGCAGCTGGGAATTTTGTCTGTCAGTCAGCACGAAAAACAACACTGGCTGGGCTGCACAACAGCCACTTTCTCTTTCTGCTCGCGGCCGCTTATTTTCTTAGCGTGAATGTTGTGCCAGAAAAGTTTCACTCAAAGCTGGGATCGGGTGAAACTACATGCGGGCATCGATTTCTGGTCACTCGGGGTCAAGAAGCAGGTCAGGAGCAAGTCCCAGTATCTTAGGCGCAATCCGGATCAAGCGACAAGTGCGGACGGTGTAGACAGTGCAGATCTGTTCATTGCAGGGATTTTTCTAGTGTTGATAGGCTATTACGCGAGCCAATTTCGTCAGACCGTTTAAAGATGTCAATTTGCTTTATTCGAAACTTGTCTTACGCATTGGACAGGCTCCATGGCACATTGCCAAGCACAGATGTGCGCTAATCTGATCATCTCGCACCTAAACTGTCTTTCGCCACTCTCAGCATTGCTGGAAGTGTGAAACCTCGATAGTAGCTCGCTCTGTACCGCTTCAAACGTCAAAGCAGCGCGTCCTCGCGCATGTTTGACAGTCTGTCCGACCGCATGCCATGTGGAGAGATACGACCAGAGCTTCAGAGAGCAGAGATTTCCGGACGGTTCCGATCCTTGAATATTCGGACGAGAGTATTGAAACATTGCTTCCAAACCTTCCGAGTAGTTGTGCATAGAGTGTTGAAATGTCATTCAGTCAACATAAAGGCGGTCGTGACATAATCACGTGACAAACTACTTCAAATAGAAGAATATTGGCCGAAGTTGAGGTCATCAGTCTATCATTTTTGCGCCATATTTATCAACAGTACAACGTAAAGAGATTGTGGATGCTAAACATAACTGTTATGTGATACTGAAATTCACAGGAAATTGTACATCTCCTGCTTTGCCTGACGCTCGACTTCGTCTAGCAGACGTTAGATCGTAATGCTGCCACGTGCTTACAATTCGGTGCGCTACGCTGTACCTATCGGCCCGAGACAGCGATGATGTCACGGCATCGCGGCACAGCCCTCGCACTGCAGTGTTCTGGCACAGTGAGAAGATTTCCTAATGAAGCGGGCTTGAAGCTGTCGTGCGTTGACCACGGTTGGACACCACGATCATTATTTCAGATAGTACTGTGTTTTTTATACTCCAAACAATAAAATCGGGCGGAAAAGTAGGCAGGCCTTTACATACTATGCACTCTGCAATGTTAACGGCCATATACGCATGTCTTCTAATATTTGAAAGTTGATTACTGTACGTGAATGTTTGCCAGTTGCATGCATCTGATTGTTTGGTCGAATGCTAACGTGACCTGACAGCCAAGTCGACGTTTGTCCGCCCGTCGCGAATCCCACCAAGCGCTCTGCTCAGCGTTCAGCTGTCGCGGTGCCGCGCCACCCACCGCCGTCCCCCTCCCTGGGTCGACGCGGGCAGAGCTCGCACCGGTAGGCGGCCCGACGGAGCCGCCGAATCTCCGAGCGGGTCCGGCGCGGGCTCGCCGCCGAATCACTCAATAAACAGCCGGCCAGACGGGCCACCGGCTGGCATCTGATCACCGGCCGGCCAGCGTTCCAAAATAAGCGGCGACTGCCTGCCGTCGCCGCCCCCCGGGCCGCCGCCCCGTCAGAGCACAGCCGCGCCGAGATCGGCCGCACTGACGGGCGATCAGCGGTGGCTGACCGCTAGGCTGCCGACCGTTCGCGGTTCGTGACTCAGAGTGGCCGGGCGCCGGCGGCTCTGAATCAGCCGGCAAGGACGGCCCGGCCGTCGGCAGGCCGCGTTTTGGAAGAGCGCTGGTGTTGGCACGGCCCGTCGGCCAGTGAAATCCACGCCGGCTGCGCCCGAAATAGAATTCCCATGACGTCACCGGGCCGAATGGGGCGATTTTGGAAATAATCCCCGGGGCTGCGGCGGCCTGGGGATGAATGGTGGCCGACACGGCGGGCCCAGCAGTGAACTGGGGTGCCGAGCCGCTGACGAGGCGCTGGAGCGGCGCTGAACAGAAGAGAGGACTGCGTCTCCGGAGGGCTAGAGCTGTGGGCGGCGGAGAGTGAGCAGGACTGATGACCGGGCGGTAGGGAAGAGAGGGATGAGTCCGGGTGGGTGGTAGAAAGAGAGGAGAGAGAGAGAGAGAGAGAGAGAGAGAGAGAGAGAGAGAGAGAGAGAGAGAGAGAGAGAGAGAGAGAGAGAGAGAGAGAGAAGAGAGAGAGAGAGAGAGAGAGAGAGAGAGAGAGAGAGAGAGAGAGAGAGAGAGAGAGAGAGAGAGAGAGAGAGAGAGAGAGAGAGAGAGAGAGAGAGAGAGAGAGAGAGAGAGAGAGAGAGAGATGAGAGAGAGAGAGAGAGAGAGAAATGAGTGTGAAGTGGGGGAATAGTAGGGGTAGGGGAAGAAGACACGAATGGGTTGTGGAGAGAGGCGGATTGAGTTTCCGGTGAGGGGAGGTGGGTGGTAAAGAAAAAGAGGGTCTTGGGCGGGAAGGAAGAAGTGGGTGGGGAGGACATGACCCAGGGTAGTTGGCGGATAGGGGGGATTGGGTGTTGGACAGAGTGGTGTGCAGAGGAGGACACGGCCTACGGCGGGTGGCGAATAGGGGGTACTGAGTATCGAATGGGCTGGTGGTGGGCTGCTAGGCACAACACTGAGCTCAAACTGTATTCGAGCCAAGCAGGCCAAAATTAACCAGCGGACTTTCGGGCAGTCCGATCCGGCCTTGAGGGTCTTAAAGAGAAAGCGGCTCCGACAGTGAGAGACAACAGCAGCGGCTAATTCGTCGCTCCCGGCGACAAGGACAAGTCAAAAGCGGCGGCTCCAGCTAGTTGTAAGCGCTCCCAATCCAATAACGTTTGACAGTGTTCTAGTGTTACGCCGCTCTTGATCTCTGCCACCTATTATTTTATCAGCCACCATTTGTCTTAAAAGGTTGGTAAATATCCCAATACCTGTGTCGATTTGATGTGTATGGACGCGTTCAGGTGGATGAAAGAACCACCAGTGTTTGGAAGTTGTCTACTTTCGTTCGACAGGTAAGTATCTCGTAATGCCAAGGCTAAAACGTGGCAGCGAATGATATAACAAGGTGCTAGCATAACAAGACAAACGTGATGATTGCGATATGGACATGAAGCCTTGCGTATGCGAACACTTGTATAGAATAAAATACTCGTGGCTTTGTCATAAGCGCAGAAGCATTCCACTGAAAGCGCATCTTGCTCATACGTGCATTACGGCTGCCGCAGCAGTGGCTGCATAAGCAAGATGGTCGGAACCATGCAGGAGCAAAGCATGCGTTAGCCACGTCAGTACCGGAGCGAGCCTCTGCGCAGGCCAAAAGGGGCCTGCATCACACGGCTGGAAGGGCGGGCGGACATGCCGACACACGGACGGATCACGTTCAGACGGCTGGCGTACACTTACACCGGTGCAGGGCGCGGGTGCGCGCCAACGGGTGCAGCGTGTGGTCGTGCGCCACGTCTCAGTCAGGCCGGTCACGACTCGGCCGTGCCGCCAGCGCACTCACGCCGCCGGCGAACCCGGGTCGCCAGGTGACCTCTCTTGACCCCGACCCCTGAGACTGAGCCGGGCCGCCCCGCGCTGAGCCCGAACACACCGGCCCACACCGTGCTCGCACACTCAAGGTCTGCAGTCGAGATCCCATTATGTGATTGACCCTTTAGATGCCGTTTTAACGCCGCGAGGCGGGGCTTTGGTGCGTTTATTGAAGCCTGTTGCGAGTGCTAGCTGACAGAATGTCCATGTAGTCACTTCGCCCATTTGTGGTTCTGCGGAGAGTGCGTTAGGAAACCGTTCGCCGTTTGAAGTTCAGTGGCTGCACTTGCGTTTGAGTTTGGGGATGAGAGAAAGCGCCAGCGATAACCGCTTAGCTCTGGGATTGCCTTAGACTTGCTGATCGGCGTTGACACCTGAAAATTAGACAGCGTGGAAGAGCGGACCAAAATGGGGCAGATGCATGGCAAGGACGGAAAGAGGCCAAGATGCGGAGAGAATGCTAACGATCTACATAAATTGTTTGGAAAGGCATCTGACATCGCCATTTCCGTGCGCCGTGACGATCATCTTTGAAGACTGCTAAAAATTAATTTGATTAATGACGTTATGGGATCCAAACCACAGACGCGTAGAACAGCACGCAACATCCTTGACAATATTCTGTCTTTGGTATATGATCAGGTGTCCGTAATGTTCGCCAGAACACCCATACCATACAGCACCAGAGAGAATTTACGGCAAGGCGGTGTGAGTGGCGTGTAGAACACCACTTCAAACCCAGCAAAGACTAAGCGAAGGCCGGGGCAGATCACGAGCCACCCCAGTAAGGAGCAGAGCGGTCACATGGCTCCATCTGGGCTTTCCAGTGGTGAGTGGGACTGGCGAAGCGGCGCGCGTGGTGACCCGCTTACGTACTCTGGGCCTCCTGGTTCTCCGCTGGGCGCACTTCCTCAGCCGTCGGCGCCACCTCCCGTTTATGGGATTCTGATTTAAACGCCTGTTTAGATGTCGAAGCCGTCAGTCCATCCCGATCCTCTAAAATATATCAGATTAAGCCCCGTGTCGTTGCGCCGCTGTGCGGAGGTGCCCGACGATATGTCGACGATGCAAAGGAACAAGAAAGAAGATGCACTCAGAACAATCTCACAGTATACCCAGCTGGGCATACTTAGAGCACACTCACAAGGGAATTCCTCTGGATGCAGTTGTATGTACGGATACAGGCACTCAGGTACTCTGGATACAGGTATACGGAACACGGAACACGAAAAACGAGACCTTGCCCGCAATGTCTCGTGATCAAGCCGCTCCGCACGCACGTATAAACACACCGAAAATATCGCTCGCCAGCAAAATATAGCAGCACAGATATTAGATACATTGAGCGGATGAGTGTGAGCCGGCTGAGCTATGCCGCAGTGCTGACACAAACACAGAAACATACCACATCACATGTGCTGCGATGATCGGGCGCGGAATCCTTTTACTGACATGGTTTCGGTGCCGTTACCCCAGTATTTAATCCTCAAAATCGGCATTGTGATATTGCAATGTGATGGGATCTTGATTCAGCGTTGTGCGCGCTCTGAGCGTGGGAAGGAGGTAACGTGGGTGCAATAGCACCCCACTTGCCGGAAATGCTGAGCAAAAACCTTGTGGCGACGCTGGAACAAACTGACTTCAAAATCTTTTGATTTGCCCTCTTTTTAGGATGTTCGTTAACCTATGATGTCTACGGTAATGAATCAAAGTAAAGCCAGTGGGAGCTATGGCAACACTAGTGTCCATTGGAGGCTTCCACCTCCAGCAAAACGCCACCCGAGTAAACCCCGCGGGACAGGCTCTGACGTCAGCGAACAGCGCGTGACGTCACGCTGGGCAAAGACACTCACTGTTCTTGTAGTGGTGCAGGTCCAGGTCATCCCGCACGTGGCCATAGCGGGAGAGCAGGTCGACCTCAGTCTTGATCTTGTCGTTGTCATAGAAACGGTTGCGCGGTCGTTTTGAAGTGACTCGGCCACCGACAAAGTTCAGGCACGAGACGTTGCCGGACCCTGGCAAGGAGCAGCACCAGATTGGCCAAATGCCGCGCACCTCCTGCAGCGCGCCGACTGCACAGTGGCATGCGGTGGTCAGAGCTCGCCGGCAACGGCAGCGCTTCTGTACAGTTTCAGTTCAGTTTCGGCGTTCTGGTTGTGGCTGGCGGCCCCGCTGGCCTCTGACCTATGCGTTTGGTGTCGTTGTCGGCGGCGTCCTTCGCCCGGTCGAAGAAGGAGCGAATGGCGATATTGCGTCGTATCGGCTTCAGCTCATCACTGATGGTCCTCTTGTACTTCTTGGGCTTCCAGTCCAGATTAGCCGCCGGATAGAACTTCCTGAAAAGGCGTCCCTCATCAGCGCGCCACCTCGGGCCTCGATCCGCCGCGGCGCGGTGCCAGATCCCCCGCCCCCTCCCCCTCCGACGTCAACAGGCGACCTTTACATGACAGCTGCCGAGCTTCGCTGCCAGATGAGCACCCGAACGCGGAATCCCACCAAAGGCAGTAATCAGCTACACAGGCCGGACAGACCCCGCAGGTATTTCCCAGGATCAGGTCCGAGATCGGCCGCGTCCGCTCCGCCCGTCTCCCGCCTGCCCAGCCTCTGCGCACGCGCCTGATCAGCGGCTTGCTGTCGGCCTGGGCTTACTCGCCGATGCATTCGTTAGATTCCGTCGGCGGCGCTATTTTGGCGCGGCGCAGGCTCGCTCGTCGGTGGTCATGAATACTAACAGCGGCAGCCCGGCGGTGTCAGCCGGCCAGCCCACGGGCGGCCACAGCACTCACCGGCAGGGGCGGATCCAGGGGCGGGCACGGGGCCATAGCCTCCCTTGGGCCTCGAAGGGGCTCACTGGCTCCGAGGGGGCCCATAGCCGGACGAGCATGTGCAGTTTTTTAACACAAAACGCAACAAAACTGGGTGTCTCTGGACTTCCAGGCGGCTAAAAACAGTCGTAAGCGAAAGTAAAAGGCCTGTGAGAAGTCCAAAAACTATTCAATGATAGGAAAAGCTGTGAGCTGAAAATAAGCCTCATTACACTGTCTAGGGGCCCAATGCTGTTTCCAGGGGACTTATATGCTCACTTGCAGGATTATTTCGATCGTTAAGGAGCCTTCCATGTTGCTCTTCATTTCTTTGCATTTGCTCGGAGCGCCCTGCGCTGTTGTTGGGGCTCTTCCTGCTGGCGTGCCGGGGCACTCTTGTCAATCACGGGCCCTGCCACGGATTATTTCCATTCGCCAGAGAGACCCTGTGAGCTATAGCCGGGGCCCCATATCTCAACCTGCCGGGGTATTCTCGGCTGCTCAGAGGTCCTTCACATGGGTCTCGGTTAACCTACCGACACACTTGCGATATGTTCAAAGGCCCTCTACATTGATCTAGGATGTTTTCAATTCTCTGTCACTTGCTTAGGGCCCTGCATTCTAGTATTCTAGTCCGGGCTCATCTGATGGCCTGCTTGGGCACACTTAGTCGTTTATGGACCCCCACACCGGGTCTTGGGTACTACTTTTGTGAATGGCGGGGGGGAGGCTTACGCTCTTGTTGGGAGGCCTATTTGATTGCGTGCTCGGGCACATTCGATCGTTCGGGGGTTCTCTACATTGGGCCTTGGGCACGTGCTATTCGAATGGAGCCCTACGCACTTGTCCGGGGCCCCTTCTGTTCGCCTCTTCGGCCACACTGGATCGCTCGGGGACCACGCACATTGGTTCTCGATGTTTAAATTTGGGACGCTCTGCTCCTATTGGGGTCATCTGAAACCTGTTCGGGTACACCCCATCTATCGGGGTCCCTCCGCAACGGATTTTGGGTACTTCTATTTGAATGGAAGGCTTTGCGCTCCCGTCAGGGCCCCTTCTGATAAGATGCTCGGCCCCATACCATCGTGGGGGACCTCTACATCTGGTTTTGGGCACCTCCTTTTTGAATGGAGGGCCCTCCACTCTTTTCGGAGGCCCAATCTTTAAACCTGTTCTGGCGCACTCGATCATTCGGGGCCATCTACATTGTGTCGTGGGTATTTCATATCTGAACGGAAGGCCCTACGCTGTTGCCGGGGCCCCATCCGTTCGAACACACTCGAATATCCGGGGCCCACCACATTTTGTCTTGGGTACTTCCAATCCGAATGAAGGGCCCTACACACTTGTCGGCGGCCCCATTTGTTTGCCTCCTCGGTTACACTGGATTGTTCGGGGGCCCTGTATATTGGGTCTTTGTGTTTGAATTTAGGACCCTATACTCCTGTCGAGGCCAACCGATATTCTGCTCGGGTACCCTCTATCTTTCGGGGGCCCTCCACACTTGGTTTTGGGTACTTCCCATTTGAATGGAGGGCTCCACGCTATTGTTGGGCCCCTTCTGATAACCTGCTCGGGCACATTCCATCGTTAGAGAGGCGATTTAAATAGGGTCTTGGATTTTTTTCCGTTTGAATGGAGGACCTCACGTTCTTGTCGGGAGCCCTATCTGTTGATCTGCTCTGGCACACCCGGTCATTCGCGGGCTTTCCACGGTGCATCTTGGGCACTTCCTATTTAAATGGAGGTCCCTACGCTCTTGACGGGGACCCTATATTTTAACCTGCTCGGGCACGCTCGATCGTTGGGAGCCCCACATATTCCGTCGTAACTATTCCTTACTTGAATGGATGGCCCTATGTTCTTGGCAAGCCCTATCTAGTAAGTTGCTCAGGCCGGTGGTGGATGCAAAAGGGGGAAGGCACGTGGCCATGTCCGCATGGACCATGCCGAGAGGACATAGAGGCTCCGAAGGGGCCATAACCGGCCGAACAGACGCAGGTTTTTAAGAACAAAATTGGACGCCTTTGGACCTACAGACGACCAAATATAATTGCTTGCAAGAGCAAAGAGTTCATGAGCAGACGAAGCTAATTCTTTCCTCGCTGGAAAGGTGTTGCTTGGGGGAAAATTCTGGGGCCCATTACGCTGCCCAAAGGCCTTATGCTGCTGCACGGGGCCTATATGTCCACTTGCCAGGTCAGTCTGATCGCTAAGGAGCTTTCCATGTTGCTTTTGATCTCTTTGCATTTCCTCGCAGGACCCAACGCTGCTGTTCGGACGTTATCTGCTTCCATGCCTGGGCACTGTTGATCGATCAGGTTTTCCTTCACGGATTTTCCCCATTCGCCCGGCAAGCTCTATACGCTTTTCCGGGGCCCCATATGCCGGGGTAAACTCAGTTGATCAGTGGCCCTTCACATGAGCCTCCGGTTCTTTGCACTTGCTTGGAGGGCCTTGTGCCGTTCCTGGAGCCCTTATAAGGTAAGACAGCCGAGTCACTAGATGTTCAGGGGCCCTCTACCTTGATCGAGGGATCTTTCCCTTTGATCTCACTTGCGGAGGACTGTTCACTTCCATCGAGGCTCTTTCTGTTAACGTGCTCGTACACTCTTTGATCGCACAGGGGTATTAATTCATGGTCTTGGGTAATTTCCCTTTGCTCAGAAGGTCTTGTGTTCTGGGTGGGGCAACATATGTCAGCTGGTCGGGACACTGCCGATCGTTTAGGGGCCAACACGTTGGTCTTGGGTTCTTTTTGCTTGCTCTGAGGATCCTATACTTGTTGACGGGAGCCACTTTGTTGGCCTCCCGTGGCACCCATGATCACTCAGGTTTCGGCCCAATTGCCTTTGGTGCCTTCGCCTTAGAGCAGTAGTCGAATATGCGCCGGTGATATTTTACACGCGACTGCCGAACGTAATTTTACATACCGCCGACGTCGTATGTGTCATTTCCATTGTCTATTGAGTGTGCGACACTCATTATACTAGTGCATCAGTGCAGCCATTCCGGGCTGTTTCTTACAGCTGGCACGCAAAGGGCCAGCAATCACAGAGGGCCACAGCTCAAGCGGGCCAGCATTCACGGAGGGACAGCACTCACGGAGGGCCAACGCTCACAGAGGGCTAGTGCTCACGGAGGGCCAACGCTCCCGGAGTGCTAGTACTCTGACGTGGGCACTAGGCGGCTTGGTCGCAGCCTTTTATTCAAAATGAATCCAGCTGGCCAGAATACCACGCGCTGCTGACTGCTGACATCTGTTAGCTGCAGCTGAACAATAGGCATGCATATGGTGCTGTTTAATATAAATGTGGGGTTAAGTTTAAGGCCGCGGTCTTCACAAGTATATGCTAGCCACGACTGTGTGATGTACGACATATGTCATGGCCTGTCAACCCAGAAGACCCTCACGCACAACCTGGCTCGTCAACGTCCCTGACTGCACGTCGTGCGCCCTAAAGTGGTAACCGAATAGCCGCACTGCCCGTCCGTCTCTCAGGGCACCGGTTACACCAATGCCAGTGAGTTGTTGGCAAACAGCGATCGTTTCCTTTGGCTCCATGGGTGTCAGATCGGGAGGGAGTTTATCCGTAACGAGACCCTACAGGAGAAACTCACATGTGCATTGTCGATATGTACCGGCGATGTTATTCACGTGCTCTCGGCTATGACCGCTCGCCGACATGCATACTAACCTCGGCGCTGGATTTGGTGAGCAAATCTCGGCCATACGTCGGGTTGCGTTGGCGCTGACCTCCTCGCCAGCTTCGTACAGGCGGTCTTCGTAATACTATAACAAAAAATGGACGAAATAGTATCAGAGTTTCCTGTCAGGGAGAGTAGGACGCACCAAATACTTAGATCATTTCCGTAAGGCTTCCGTTCAAAAACATCAATACCATCTTGCCCGCAAGGCATTCTCGTCTCCTCGAACCAGACGGAGCAGGAGGCAGTCCGCTGCTGGCATGAGTCACACGCATGGGTGCGCCGGTCCGTCGGCGGGCGGCGCGCGGCTTCCGAGTACCCCAGCTGGGCCGCCGGCCGGTCGGCTCATCCCCCGTCGCCTTCCCGGCTCGCTCGGCGCTAATGGCGCCGCCTGTCACTGTGGACGGCGTCGGCATCCGCGGAGTCGACGGCGTCCGCGGGCGGCCGGCGGCCGTCAGCCTCAAAGGAGGCAGGCGCGTGCTCCACGCCAGAGCGCGAGACTAGTGTTACTGTCCAGTGACCAGGGGCGGATCCAGTTGGACGATCGGGGCCAGGATCGCTCCCAAGATGGTTGAAAACAACCGGATCAGTATTATTTTGTGCCTGATTTTGCTGTAGCTGGCGCCAGATTTACAGCTGGGCTCTTCAACCGAACTTGCTCTCTAAAATAATTCATCGGGGTGGCCCCAGCCAGCAGGTCATGCCCAGGTCAGGGCCCGGAGGCAGGGCGGCGGGGACCTAGCGCAGCGTGACACCGTGCAGTTTACCTACGCCACGCGGGCCGTGTTGAGCACGAGGTGTCGGGCGAGTCCGTGCCACGGCCCAGCATCACCGGTCAATGCCGGCCGAAGCTGATCCCAGCCTGAACGGCGTCCACTGAATCATCATCTCAGAATTCCAGTCAGGGCTGCACAACCGCTCTCCTCCGTTTGTGATCGAGAACCACAGACCCTCTAGTATCGCTGTTCTGGTCCGATTTGGGAACTTTACAGCCAGCCATAAATATAGAATGAGTGCCGGCGCGTCAGAATCACGTAACATGCCGCGAGAACTTTCCGACGCTACGACGAGTTCAGTGACTTCCAAGACGTATTCTTTCCTTTCAAGCTTCTGGGAGACATGATAGGAAGCGCTTTAGAGACAAGGCAGAAATGGAGTCAACTGTCGTCACATGCGTACAGGGTCATGCATCATAATCTCACGGATCTACAACGTCAGGACAATGCTCGAGATGATCTTCGAACTGCAGCAAATAAAAAGCTAAGCTGGCCGATGATTCCGGTCCCTTCGACACGTGGCACTCGGGTAGCCTGTTCCGACGGAGCGATATGCTGCTGAGCTGGTTCAACTCCATGCCAAGCTACAGGAGCAATCGCCATTCGGGAGCTAAAGCGTGTCTGTCACAAAGCGAGGTGGGTCGGGGGAGCGCAGGGGGCGAATACCACACAGCCGCGCTACTGGATGACAAGGGTGCTGGTAACGACCCACGAGCATTCCGCTACCGCGACTGGGTGACAAGGGGTGCTGGTAACGACCCCCGCACATTCCGCCGCCGCGACTGGGTGACGAGGGATATTGGTAACGACCCCCGCACATTCCGCCGCCGCGACTGGGTGGCGAGGGATATTGGTAACCACCCACGGGCATTGCGATGGCGACTTCACCTATTGCGGGGCGCCCTGGCGTGGCTTGACTTACGTGAGGACCTCCACAGGCCACACTATGATAGGGCACCCTGGGAACCGCCCAGCCGCATTTTGAGTATCTTGGTGTGCGGGGCGGCAGCTGCCGGGTCGATGGAACAGCGCAGCCACATCGCGTTAGACATCGCTATTGACGCTCGCTCGGGGCACAGTTCCGGCCTCGACCGAGTCGGCCCACGCAGCTGACCAATCAGCAGCTGCTCAGTGGGCCTGTTGGGATCTCAATCAACTGCAAACCGCGGCCAACGGCCGCTTGATAGGACATCGAACAGCGGAATAGCGACGTCTCAAACGATGGCTTTACGACTGCGTCAGTCATTCCCATCGACTGGAAATATGGTCTCTGCAATGCGATCATACACTAAGTTGAAGGACGATCACGGTTTGCTTCAGACTGCGACACAAATGGCATGCGCTGTCCTTGGAAACCATCGGTTAGGGACCCGCACGTGACAGGGCATTCTCGGCTCGAAGTTCACACGCCGGTCACCGACAACACTAGACCGTGTTCAGCGCACGCCCGCCGCTCCGCACCGCCACTGCACCCTGGTGACGGTGTGCATGGATCAAACCTGTGACCTACCAGTAACTCAGCTCAATGAATAGTCTAACTCGGTCACTCAGCGGCGTATGACGACGCGTTTGTACATACCAGCCGGCACTGTGTCGCTTAGCAACATAGCATAGTCACTGAACAGCACGGGTCGGCCATTTACATGACCAGACGCCATCAAGTTGCCAGTGGCCCCAAGGTTGCTTCATACAGCACAACAACAGATGCAGCCACTTTTTAATCCCATTGCAGAAGCACATGGAGCCGGACTTTGTTTGAAAGTTTGCGTTTAACACCCTTTTGGATGAAGAAAAGGTATAAGTGGTGGGGCGGTGCTGTGACCAGCGTGGGAGGCCTGCGCAAGGGAGCCCTGGCTCAGGCCCGGAGATAGGGACGCTGTGACCACCGTGGGAGGCCTGCGCCAGGGAGCCCAGGCTCAGGCCCGGAGATAGGGACGCTGTGACCACCGTGGGAGGCCTGCGCCAGGGAGCCCTGGCTCAGGCCCGGAGATAAGGATGCTGTGACCACCGTGGGAGGCCTGCGCCAGGGAGTCCTGGCTCAGGCCAGGAGATAAGGATGCTGTGACCACCGTGGGAGGCCTGCGCCAGGGAGTCCTGGCTCAGGCCAGGAGATAAGGATGCTGTGACCACCGTGGGAGGCCTGCGCCAGGGAGTCCTGGCTCAGGCCAGGAGATAAGGGTGCTGTGACCACCGTGGGAGGCCTGCGCCAGATAGTCCTGGCTCAGGCCAGGAGATAAGGGGCCGAGCAAGGCTGCAGGGTGGTGCGACGAGTCAGGATGGAGGGGGCAAATGACGAGGTGACAGGATCGATTCTTCTTCAGACTCTGGTGACGCTTTTAACGCCTTACGCGTGTCAATGAAGAGGAGGCATGTACCACGTGGCTCAATTTGGGAGTCTGCCATTTTCGGTGCCGCTTCATGCCATTGGTCCCTGACGGAGCGTCGGACACTCATGCAGCCGGACGCCACTCTCACCTGCATGATCGGGTCGTCGTCGAAGGCGTCGTACACGTGCGCCAGCTGACGACGGCGTGGGATGACCACCAGCGTCTCTGGGTCGCGCAGCAGCACCGGCATCTTGGTGAACGAGTGGCCCGGCTCGGAGGCGCGGCTGACGCGCGCGTGCGTGTCCAGCGACATAGTCGGGTTGTAGGTACGGCCCTGGCGCGCCGCGGCTTAGGTTAGGTCAGGTTAGCCTTCTCGGGACAAGGACCACCATGGCCAGATGCGCGAGCACTGCACCAGCCACCGCTTGCCAGGATAGACACTGCGATACGTTGAACACGTCGGGTTGCGTTGGAACAATAATACTCATAATGCAATATTTACAGTCATGCTGTCCTCGCTGCGAAAGCCGGATTCGCAACATCAGGCAAAGTAGATAATTGATGTTACTGCTGAACAGCTTCCGGTATCTGCTTTCAGGAGAGCGCTAGCCACCTCCCAGCCTTGGACAACAGCCTTGTCTTTCATCAATCGCTATGAAATGCAGCACGCCTTGCGTAAGCTGTGAGCTTATCAAAAGATCAACCGGAGCAGCATTTTTCGAAGCTATGCCTGCATAACAGTGAGCATCCTTCTGAAAAGAAGCGCCTGAAAAGCTTACTCAGCGACAAAAAATGTCACTCTCGCTCGGCGGGGGAAGAACACAGCCGTGAAGCAGAAGGCCAGAGCTGAAAAAGCGGATCGGCAGCAAAGGGTTGATGGGGTTTGGCCAAGAGAGAGAGAGAGAGAGAGAGAGAGAGAGAGAGAGAGAGAGAGAGAGAGAGAGAGAGAGAGAGAGAGAGAGAGAGAGAGAGAGAGAGAGAGAGAGAGAGAGAGAGAGAGAGAGAGAGAGAGAGAGAGAGAGAGAGAGAGAGAGAGAGAGAGAGAGAGAGAGAGGAGAGAGAGAGAGAGAGAACGATGAGAGAGAGAGAGAGAGAGAGAGAGAGAGGAGAGAGATAGAAGAGAGAGAGAGAGAGAGAGAGAGAGAGGAGAGAGAGAGAGAGAGAAGAGAGAGAGTAGAGAGAGAGAGAGAGAGAGAGAGAGATAGAGAGAGAGAGAGAGAGAGAGAGAGGGAGAGAGAGAGGCGCGGCCAGCCAAGAGTTGGGTGTCTGCTCCTTTTTTCCCTCGCCAGGGAGGACACACAGCCAAAACCGACAAACAAACAAAGCTGCGACGCAGAAGAAGGGCAACCACTTACCATGCCAACTATTGGGAGCTCCAGGACTGCGCCCTGCAGTTACACAAGCCCAGGTTACATAGGGGAACCATAGATGGGATAGAAAGAGACGGAAACTGAGATGTAGATGGCGGGCAACCGGTGGAGATGCAGACAAGAGTGGAACAGGGGACAGGAGTGGACCAGAAAGCCTATTGGCTCACTTCGTGCGACAACACACTAAATTTGAGCTGCATGCCAGAGCCTGACAGCTAAGCTGAAACGTTAGACGATGAGGGCATGCCTCGCGCCGGCATACATTGTCTTAGGAGGAACATGTTAAGACTCGTGAGCGTGCACAAGAAAGCGATGCATTTTAGCTGCTATCGGGATCACGGACATGACCCAACAACAGTTAAGGGCACAGCGAAAACGTCATGTTTATGTCCTTTAGTTGTATTGTTTATGCTTTTATAGCTTCCACTAAGCACCCCAAGTTTTGGCATGGAAACAAAAATTCATTCGTGACTCTCCTAACTTAACTGTGGCTAGACCCCACACGGCAAAGCCATGTAAAATGAACGGGAAAAATTAACCGACTTAAGTATCAATATTGAGCCGAACTGAACTCGGGTCGCGTCACAGCTAATCTGCGGATGACTGAGTGGTTCCTTTTAAACTTTATTCCGTGCGGACCATTTTATGATTGGTGGCGACTCTGCTCTGTGTCGTCGAAGAATTCGAGCCTCAGTTTGAAGCCAATCGCTCAGCAGATTCACGTGCCATCCCGCATGATAAGCTGTGGGACGCGAGCTTTACATGAAACTCCAATAGACAAATCTACGGCCGGGGCTCCTGCAACCCAGCCCTACTGCAGATCAGCTCCCCTCCCCACACATCTAGAAGTCGTCATACAACTCTGGCGGCCCGAACCCCATCCGAGACCGAACCTACACTAGCGGAGCAAAAGACCACAGGAGCAAAAGCAACACGCCTGGTAATGAGCAGCAGGCTACGCTACGAAGCTGGCGATTACAGACGACCACAGGCGCCGCCCGGGAAGCGAAGCAGCCAACGCCGGACCCTGGGCAAAGGAGCGGCGACAGGAGGGGGCGGGCTAGAAGTAACGATAGTAACGGCGAACGGGCGCGCGTCTTTCAACGACGCGCTCAACTCGCTTCACAACCCGATCGCCACCCTGTGGGAGGCAGAATGAGACGTCCTCAGTGGCGGCGCTCCCAACGGTCATCACGTGCTCTGACCACCGGAGTGTCACGGGGTCAGACCAAGGGTCAGCGGGTGATCTGCTCGTGACGTCAGTGTGCGACCTTACCGCGCCGGGCAATCGCTCGGCCGGGACGCTGGGGGGGAGGGGGGGGAGGAGCACCATGTGGCCTGGCTGAAGGACATTTTGAATATTACATGAGGGGGCAGCAATGTTTCAGCCACACTCCTCTAACGTCACCGCTTGAATGATGCACTTAAAAAGCCAAAACGGGAGTAATGTGGACAGCATTGTCAATGGCTAGGATGCGGTGCGACATTGTGAGATGAAAGAGGTTAAGTGACTGCGGACGTAAGCAAGCATATTCCCTAACCCAAAATGCTAATCACAGGAAACCAAAAAGGATTAAGGTTAAGTGCGCAACTCGATGAAAGAAATGAGCATTTATCTTGGCTGCATAATAACTCCACTCATAGCGTCAGGGATAAAAAGTCTGGGAAGAGATCTTTCCTGAATACGTAAGCAAACACATACGTAAGAAGCCCTGAGTCGTCAAATTTCCGATGTGCCAATTATGAAGGCCTGGTGGTGACGGACATCGCATACGGTCAGCGTGAGGCGCTTAAATAATAATTAAGCCCCCCCCCCCCCCTCCCCCCCCCCCCACCACCACCACCACGAAGGGCTTTTCAGACTTGTTTTCAAATGGCGTAGCTTGCCGCGAATGTTCTCTGTATAGCTGTAGGCAATTGAATAGTTCATCTTGCGCACACCAAAATCCATGTCTCCTAAGGTCGCTGACCTGTGGCAGGTCAAAGTCAGGCCATGGCTGTCAGCGAGGACATTCCTAGAGAATCGCTCAATCTGATGCCAGAACAGAGTGTTATATGAAGTCACGCAGCTTTGATATGGTGTCTATGGCAATTAGACAATTAGTTTAATATTACGATAAATTTCGTTGTCCTTGAGTTAGCTATGAAGGACTGGTGAAAGACAGACCTAAACCGCTTTATTGCTGGGCAACTTGCTTTATGGGATAGTTGTTGACCCTCGTTTCGAATTCCTTGATCACAGGGGGCAACAGGGGGTCAACAGAAATCTTATTTGGGCTTCGTGAGGTTCAGGGAGGCCTCCGACTTAAAATGACCTCGATCATTATTTTGCTTTGCTTTTGCTTTTCGTTTTTGACGCCGATTTAAAGTCCAAATATCGAAACAACCTCCGCGTTTTTCGGCACCTTGACCCTCTGAAGATTAAATAAGGCTACTGACATGATGTGAGCATCAGCGACCTTTTGCTTAAAAAGTTATTAAGGTTAAATATCGTTGCATATGACGCCTGGGGGCACTTCAAGCACTGATCTGAAGTTTTGCTTTGTCTGAAGTTATTCATGATACAAATGAGTTCACATAAAAGGCCACTTGTCTCGTGAATTTTGTGCCTCTTACTCTCCCTCTCTCAGTTTTTGATATCTCGGGGGCTACACTGCGTATCGCCTTCAACGGGTCACCCGGCTGTGTGTTACATTACACCAAATCACCAAAAACATGACGAACAATATTGAAGCGAAAACGTGGACATTTCCTGTTGAAACCTTTTTAAACTGATCTTATTCCACAAATTTAGGATGTTGATTTTACGTGTTTGAAATGCAAGGTATTTGTCAAAATTAATGCCATCCAATCGAGCTCGAACATCTGTTAAGGTGCTTTATCGCCGATTCACTTTAATCAAACGCGATGGGATTACAGTAAGTTTCGTAAGCAGCCCTATTGCCTCATATCAATTTGCTCTGAATAATACGCACTGCCCGCACATCGCCGTGCGCATCACAGCAAGAACGTCCCGCACCTCACAGCCACACGCACAATCTCAATCTTCGGAAGTAATGTCACAGATATGTTATGTGAATGACGCCTACTCCTTTTTCGCCCGCAGGTGTGTATTTCAATAATTCAAATTTCAGCAGAGTTGCTAGTTTACAACGCGCACACCCTCAGAAGTCGCCGGTTCTTTGGTAATCATATGCGGTGTTTGGGACAGACTCGATCCGACTCCAGCCAATTTCGACGCCCGTCAAGGCCCGAAGATTAAAAAGTGGCGAACGTGGCTGGATATTGTCCAACACTCTCAAGACTATTATGACGTCAACAACTTTTTTCCAATTCATTTGCGTTTTTAGCGGTACTGAACGAAATGGAATAGCTGCAGTGGTATGGAAGCAGATGTTCCCTCAGAGGAAAAGGGATGGCTAGGAAACACAGGCCCGGCGTCGCTCCAGCGAGCTGTTATTTCAGTGAACCATAGCTTGACTTCAGCTGGGCATCAGGCGTATATGACATGTCAACGGTGTTTAATGCTTAGATTTTTATTATTTCTTACAGGTTCTCAAGCAGGAGGGCTGCCCATTAGTAAAAAAGCAAGAGGAAGGCTGCATGGTACGGATTGTATGTGCCTTGATGTAATGGGTGAAATGCAAAAAGTTTAGCAGACAAAATCTTGGCATCAACCTCATTTATACAGGTCCCGCTCCGCAAGTGCCACTATGCATAGCATTCACTGAACCAACGACAGCTGGTACAATAAGGTGCAGTTAACATATTCCAGAGTACAGAAAACGCCCACATGAGGTCATCATGCTGAAAGTTCACCTCACACAACGGGAGCTTGGCGAGCAACGGTGACTGGAGAGTGCTCCTGCGAGGTCACAGGATAAGACGGTGGCGCATGATCCACCTTGGCACCCGACACAAATCACCGACCGCTGGCCGCCGGCCAAACGTGACGTCATGATGGCGTCACTCACTTACCAGCGGGAAGGAGATTGGTGAGTAGCTGTAATAGGTCCGGGCTGGCTGCGTGTAATAGGTGGTTCTACTGGGCAGAGTGTAGCTGTAGGATCTAGTCGGCACTGTGTATGTGTAGGTCCGACCCTGCGGCAAAGGTCACATCTAAGGTCAGTGCATTGAACGCCCGGGGTAATCTCTGCGGCCAGACGGCAAGAGCTAATCTCCCGGTTCGGTCTAATACACGCACACACACACACACACACGGGCGTGCGCTCCTGGCATGCCGTCCGTCGGGCTCCTTCCAACCAGGGACATACGCGTGGTTCAGCTTATCCCCGCCCAGCGTGCAGAGTTCAAATAACAGCTTTCTTACATTTTAAAACTTGTTCGCTCATGGTACGATAAGCGGAGTCCGCGTTACAGACCATTCTGGTCTTTTTGTTTATTTCCTCGTACAAAAAAACGCGTTAAGGTTTTCATTGAGTGGCCAGAAATACGTAGAACTTGTTTTTTAAGAGAGCGTTGGTTTACACAGTGGTTAAGTGCAAAGACTTGGCCGCGGGCAGCTGGGAATGCAATGAAATCACTCTCACAATGCTCGCATGGGTTGAGTGTTTTTTTTTGTGAACATTTCAAAAAGATGCTTATTCGGCCAACAAATGCGATGCATGTCAGTTATCAAACTGCGGACGAGGCTGCAAGGTTACAGAACATCATCAGCATTACGAGCTGCGGACGAGGATGCAAGGCTACAGAATATCACCAGCATTTCGAGCTGCAGACGAGGCTGCAAGGCTACAGAACATCATCACCGTTACGCGGCCAATAAGCGGCTGAATTTATGTTTGCAATACGTTAGACGGTTCAACGTCAACCATGAGCCGCCTGACCTCACATTATTGGCCTACGGGTATATATAGAGGCCAGTTCATAACCTGTCCCTGACGTAGTCATGAGTTAGCTGGTGTGTGTTCACCGCTAGTCGCTCAGTGCTAACCATGTTCGAATCACGCGATACTTGCTATGAGTCGTCTCTTTTGTGATAACCATTATTCGGCCTACCATACATATCGTGGGCAGAAGTCGACTGGTCGCTGGTCGTACCAGCTGGTGGGCTGGTTGGTGTATTGGCCATAAGCCGACTGGCCCAATGTCAGCCCTGAGTCGAATGGCTCAAAGTCAGCCGTGAGTCAAGTAGGCCCACGTCAGTAATGGGCTAGGTGGCACCATGTGGGCCATGGGCCGCTGGCCCAATGAGTCGACTAACCACATGTAGGTAATCAGCGGTCCACCATGTCAGCAGTGAGTACCCTGGCTCCCATGTCGGCCATTAGTAGACTGGACCCATGTCACTAATGGGCTGGCTGACTAGCTGGTTGGGTCATCGGCCGGCTGGCCCTGTATCGGCCATAAGCCAGCTCCTTGCGACGATCAGGTCGATATTCCGAGACGAATAACGGAGGTCAGATCGTTAGTGAGGCACGCGAGCAGCCGTGTCTCGAATGTCACGACCCCTCCCCTTCCAGCGAAGGGGAGTGGGGTCCGCTGATCCGAAATCGGTTTCTCGCCCGGTCACGTCCGGTCCCCGTCATCGGCAGCCACCAGCTAACAACGCACCATCGCTGATTTGTAGGGGCTCAGTAGCTTCTGCGCTGAGCGGGCAGTGCAACCACGCCCTGCGCGCCAGCTGGGATCCCAAATGTATTGCCGTTGGAACAACTCAACAGTATTCGAGGCCTTGGGATTATTATGGTATTCTGAGCTTATTAATTGGTTGTTGCGTGGTAAAATGCGACGTGTCTAGCCTACGATCATTGGATTATGAAAAAATTACGCTTAGCAGTGTCAGTGATTCTTCTCTCCTAAGTGCAAAGGTTCCGTAAGAGTGGTGTGAATCTGATAATGGATCAACTATCCTTTGAATCCGAGTCACATTACTTTTACCAGATGTTTTTATTCAAAGACGGAAACCACTGACACTGGTCAGAGCATCTTTAAGTGTATGGTTTTAATTTCCTGCAGTGTTGTGACCAAAAAGGGCACGGAACCTTGCCTGAAGGGAGGAAGGAAGCCTATCTGCAAAACTGTGCATTCTGTGATTACGTCTTTCTGGCGTAACGTATTACTCACACCTCAGTCTTTCGACGAGTCTAGCTCCGTAATTGACAAGAGAAACAGGATCTATGGAGTGGGCGCAAAATGACTCTAGAAGTCGACGCGCCCTAAAACCACAATCATCATCATCATCACTTGCCGCCTCCGTGGTCTAGGGGAAGGGTGCTGGACTCGTACCCAGCGGCACTGGATACGATTCCCAGGGTGGGCGCATTGTTTGACCCGACTGAAATGGAAAGGCCAGCTGGCAACTGGCCAGCGAGGTTCAACCCAGATCCGAGGCGGTCGTGTCGCAGCATTGTGCGGCGCGTAAGACCCTCCGCATTCCTGTCTGGCGAAAGGGCGGAGGCAAAATTAGCTGTTGAACTGGACGGCACGCTTGGGTGGTGTGTTCGGGGTGCACGCAACAAGCTATGCTTAGCAGGTACTCTGAATCCGAAGCCACCCATACAAACCATTCGGGATAAATTTATTTTAAAAAAATTTAAAAATCATCAGGATTTATGGATAAAACTGTTCACGGGTGCAGTGAACTTATATGTACGCGTATGCCATCGGTAGCGAGCCGGCTTAGCTAACAATATATCGCAAAACGTCAATGAGGGAATGAGAGTGGTTAACGATTTTATCAAAGGTTTGGCGCATGCGCCATAAAATGGCACAAAATGTTGATATTTGTCCTGATTTGCCACAGTTCTCTTCATTCACTTCTTTTGTAAATTATGCAAGATTGGATAAAAGACACTGCCAATGAATCACATAATTACACTCCACGCGGTACGCGTTTTGTTCAGAGGAAAAACACAAATGAGCTGAACCTTTTTGGTTCAACCAGCTTGGAGTTCAATCAGCTCCGATATCATAAAATGACTACATCGTTGTTGGCTTGGAAGGCAATGACCAGCAGGAAGATTATTTGTGCAGATTATTGGTAAACACTTGTGTAAGCTCTAGAAATATCGACTTGTTTTTTTTTTGTCGACAACGAAAAATGATGCAAGGCGAACACAAACGGTGCGTCAAGTACTTTTTCTGACAGGGGACAGAGGAGAAATGTATGTGCAATCGATGTCTTTTCCTTTTCAGACCAGTTAAATTGCTGAGCGTCTCCGAGTGTTTCGAAAGGGTGCTGTTCGCCACAGAAACTGTCAGCCTGCGACAAAACTACTGCACCGGCATTTCTTTATCATTCAAATCTTTTTTCCCGATTGTTCTTGATTGGGAACTATACGTGAATAGGACGTCCTTTACCGCTGGGCAACGGGGACAGGGACTGTCTGGCCAAAAAATATGTGCTTCTTGAATCAGGGGTGGATCTAGCCTGGAGTTGTTGTTTGTTTTTTTTTTGGGGGGGGGGGGCAACCACTGGTCGCCAGCTGGCTGGTGTGGGATCCGAGGTCCAGTGCATGGTACCCCTCGCGAGTACCTAGTAGGGACACCATTCAAAACCGAAAAAAACACCGAAATGCTCTTGAATCTTAAACAGAAGTTAAAACAAAGCAATTAAACAGTTTAAGTTAAAACAGACGGTAAGTGGACGAAGCTTTCATGATGTTCTGGAAATGTTTTGGGGTGGCCAAAACATACTCTCAGAGGTTTTTGGGAAGGCCATGACCCCGTGCCCCCCCCCCCCTCCCCCCAGGATCCGTCTATGTCTTGAATTACTCTAAGCCAGAGAGATTGGCTCAGAAATATTTATGCACCAACGTGTCCAGTTAGGCGCTTTTTAGCGGAACTGACTCATCTCCGTGGGAAATATCACTGCAGTGTCCGTGCCGAAACGCTGAGACACCGTAATGTATGTTCAACAGGCAAAGGAAGGAAGCGGGACGTCACTGCTGAGCGTTTTGACTTGCCCTTGTCTAAGCACTACCATTTTTCTAGCCCCTAAATTGACGGAAGCTGTAGCTTTACCCATTCAAACTGAATCCGTTCGACCTCAGCCCTTGCGCTCAAGTTCTACGATCATGCTCAGCCACGAATGACCTCACTGTCATTTAACCATGGGCCTAAAGGGATTGTTTTTCAATTAACGGCCAGTTTCTGATCAACTAGCATTTAAGACCGCCGCACAGATTAAGCTGCCGATCAATGCCCAATGAAGCACTTTCGGTTTCATGTTGCATACTGCATGGAAACGTTCGATTCACAAAATGGCCGCCGATGCGCCTGGCCTGGAGCAAATGCATCGACGCTGGGCTGCCAAAGCCAGAGCCGCGCCTGGCAGCGGCGCTGCCTGGCAACCAGCCAGACCTGGTGAGAATATGGAGGCCACCCCGCCGCTGGTTGTGTTACAGACGCTGTTCAAGACGCGCTGGCCGACTGGAATTCCAGGGCAGGGCGTGCTACTGTCTGGAGGTGGTAAGCGACGACAAGCGATTGCACCGACAAGCGACAACCAGCGCGCATTCGGCTCTGTCTTCCGCGGCCCGGCCAACCAGGGGAGAGGCGATGGAACCCCTCTCTCCATGTGACCAGACCTCAGTTGCGGCACGGGTTGCGCCTAATGCGAGTTGCCACTCGTGGACCATCATTTACCCACGACCGGCTGCATAATTACCCACGACCGGCTGCATAATTCAGCAGCGGCCGCCGCAACATGGATCGCAGCCGGACACGTGTTCTGACGGATGACGGCGCTCTTCTCTGTATCATGCGGCTCTTCTCTGTGGCGATCCGGAGGACGCGAGCGGCGCGGGCTGGCGCGCGCCCGCCGCGTCTCGGGGCGGCGGCGCCTACCGACGGCCGCCGCGCCGGTGGCACCGACGGTGATTCACCACCGTCTGCCGCCGTCGCGCACCCCACCAGCTCCGTGACCGAGCCGACCGCGGATGTACGGATGATCTCGCTCATTACCGGACCGTCCACGTCGGTCGACTGTCGACGGCCATTTTGCGTGCGTGTGTCGGCCGGCATGACTGCCTCTGCCCTCTGACCTTAGCTGCGCATCTGGGGCATTTGTCCGTGGGGACAGATGGACGCGTTCCCGGTAACGACACACTCTGGATAGTTGGCTCGTCGGGAGCGTGCTCGGTATTGACACACTCTGGACAGTCGGCCCGTTGGGAGCGTTCCCCGTAACAACACACTCTGGACAGTCGGCTCGTTGGGAGCGTTCCCCGTAACAACACACTCTGGACAGTCGGCTCGTTGCGAGCGTTCCCGGTAACGACACACTCTGGACAGTCGGCTCGTTGGGAGCGTTCCCGGTAACAACATACTCTGGACAGTCGGCTCGTCGGGAGTGTGTTCGGTAACGACACACTCTGGACAGTCGGCTCGTTGGGAGCGTTCCCGGTAACAACATACTCTGGACAGTCGGCTCGTCGGGAGCGTGCTCGGTAACGACACACTCTGGACAGTCGGCTCGTTGCGAGCGTTCCCGGTAACGACACACTCTGGACAGTCGGCTCGTCGGCAGCGTTCCCGGTAACGACACACTCTGGACAGTCGGCTCGTCGGCAGCGTTCCCGGTAACGACACACTCTGGACAGTCGGCTCGTCGGCAGCGTTCCCGGTAACGACACACTCTGGACAGTCGGCTCGTCGGCAGCGTGCCCTACCCGACGGACTTAGTCCGTCTTGTGGGCACGCTGCTAATGCTCAACTGACAGGTTCAATACGGCCTAGCTCGTCACGCTGAGCATGTGAGGCACGACATCCCTCCGGTGACCGGCGGCTGAGAGAGTTCAGCCGCCCCCAGAGGCCGAGAGAGCTCACCTGCAGGAGGCGCCCTCTGACACACGTTCTGCGGATGTTGGTCGTTACTTAGATATGCGGTGATGTATTGTGCCCTCACTCCTGTCTCCGATGCAGCGTGCGACTCCAAAGCGAAGACCTCGTTTGTCTGCCTTTGTCATTGGCTGCTGTAATAAGTTTGGGTCGTCTTTCCAGCAAAGCTGGAAGTCATATCTGGCGTTACTTTGCCTCAACACAGTGCAGCGAGAAGTGCGTGACTTTCGTACTTCCGTACGTTTCCTTCCTTTCGTACTTTCCCAAGCGTTTTTACCACCCCGACCATAGTCGAGCAGTTAGGTGTATGGAAATAAGTAAATGGTAAGTGACAGCACCATGTGGGATTTAGTGAGCGTGGCGCACGCAGAGTAGAACTCGGCCAATATACCTGTATGCGTGCTGCCACAGTTGCCTGCTCCTGTCACTAAACATCTGAATTTTCTAGTGCAAGAACCAGGTGAAGGGATGCTGCTGAATAGCCTCAGGTCCACGCCCGGTGATACCCTGACGACGTGCGACTGTCGTTGGGAGCAGCCTCACGCAGCTCAGGTCCACGCCCGGTGATACCCTGACGACGTGCGACCGCCGTTGGGAGCAGCCTCACGCAGCTCAGGTCCACGCCCGGTGATACCCTGACGACGTGCGACCGCCGTTGGGAGCAGCCTCACGCAGCTCAGGTCCACGCCCGGTGATACCCTGACGACGTGCGACCGTCGTTGGGAGCAGCCTCACGCAGCTCAGGTCTACGCCGGTGATACCCTGACGACGTGCGACCGTCATTGGGAGCAGCCTCACGCAGCTCAGGTCCACGCCCGGTGATACCCTGACGACGTGCGACCGCCATTGGGAGCAGCCTCACGCAGCTCAGGTCTACGCCCGGTGATACCCTGACGACGTGCGACCGTCGTTGGAAGCAGCCTCACGCAGCTCAGGTCTACGCCCGGTGATACCCTGACGACGTGCGACCGTCATTGGGAGCAGCCTCACGCAGCTGCCGGGCGAGGACCGGTGCGAGCGTTGAGTTTTCGGGCACCGCTTTGAGCTGGCATTGCTAACCATAATGACTGATTTTGAACGGCATTTGTTTTTTTGTGTCTTTTCTGTTCGAATAGAACTCTTCGTTAAGAGCTCTATATATATTATCAACTCGCTGCTGCACCCAGCGCGTTCTCATAAATTAGGGGTTGAATGATTCTGAGCTCGACGATTAAACGGCACTCAAGATATGACAACAAAAAGAATCGGAACGTCTCGTAAAGCTTTTCTTCATTCATCCTGTCATTCGAATTGTCTTCCCTCCGCGTCAGACCCATTGCATATTGAAAGTGATATTTGGCACCTCAGCGGTTTTTCAGATGCTAAAAGTGTGAGGTCAATCAAGGGATCTTTGTGAAACTCGCGGAGGTACACGCTCTTTTGATCAGTTTGATCTTTTGTTCACTTGCATTTAAAATCAACCGGTCGTTGGCAGAACTCTACTCTGCATTCTATACATTGTGTGACAGAGAAACTATGCATGCCATACCGCACCGGGGACTTCTGTTCAATACTGTCTGTCGAGAGCATGCCAGCGAGCTGCCGGTGGGTGCTGAAGCGGAGGGACTCACCGGGGAGAAGTAGGTCGGTGTGACATACGAGCTGGTGTAGTAGGTGGTGCCGCCCGGATCCCTGGCGATCCTGTAGCTGCTGGAGTAGCGTGGGTAGCTCATGGTGCCGACCGAGACGCCTGACCTGACCTGAGCCGACCTGACGCGACCTGACCTCGCCTGACCGGTGACCTGGCGCGCGTCTGACCACCGCCGAGTGACTGCGGGTAGTGCCGGACGGCGCCCCGCTGCAGCGGTGCGGCCCGAAATAGTCGCCCCTCCCTCCCCCCGCGCGGGCCGACAGGTCAGACGCGGTGCCAACGGTGCCCCGCCCTGCCGCCGCTGGAACGGCCGCCCGCGTGACGACGACCGAGCGCTGGAGTCGATGTGGAAGGATCCCAGCGCCGCTGCCGGCACGGCTCGGGTTCGCGCGGGCGGCGCGGGTGCCGCCGCGGGTCACGCGTGCAGCACGGCGACGTCGGAGTCGACGGGGTCCGCGGCGGCGACCCGGGTCACGGCCGCGGACCCCGCAGGGCGGAGTCAACACAGGATCCGGACCGGGCGGCCGGCTGCCAACCGAGCCTGGCACCCGGCCGGCGGGGAGCTCCCACCCACCAAATACACAACTGACAGCGCGCGGTGAGATGTAGGGTTAGTAGGCCTGGAGGCGAGAGACGGTGGCTCCACATCCGTCTTCCTCACAAAATGTCGCTGGACGGAGACCAGCCGGGAGCGCTGCGGTCGGGAGAGCCGCTCGGAGCGTCGAACGCTGGCATTGTTGCAAGCTGCGTGTGGTACGTTATACCAATGAACACGGTGCAAGCCGTTTTAGCAGCAAGGCGTTAAACAGACAGGGGAATTGTTGCTCATGGTTGTATGATGGGAGAGTGGCATCTTATCACTGGTGGTGTTGCTTGGCATTTGAGACACACTCAGATAGGCGCCAGCGTTTCAAAATTGGATTTAAATGCGAATTTCAATACAATAATAAAATTATGTGGTGGCCGCGATAGCAACGATTCAAACTTAATACAAAAACAGCCTTGCCCAAATGTGTCCAAAGCATTGCAACTGCGATAAAACGTTTGATGCCCACTCACTAGGTGGAATTGCAATGAGTTCAATGTTAAGGAGACATTTGCAGCCATCATCTAGGCCAGTTGGCCATATCAGCGTATAAATCACAGTATTTCTCTATTTTCAAAATCAATGTATTTCCAGTGGCTAAAGCTTACCATGATACCATTTCGTATATTATTAACCCAGAGCTGCGCTGTTGCTTGACCGCCCCATTCAACTACGTCTTTGTTTGCCCATAGAAAAACATGAAGTGGAAGTAAATTTGACCATGAATTACGGTGGTAATGAAATGATCCCAACGGCGCGCAGTGTGCGGATCATAGAGCTCGCACACTCGGTCCCGGTTTTGCACTAACGACGTTTATGGTACAGCCGTAAGCGCGACCACACGCCCTCTGGCGCAGCGCGCTTATCCTGGCAAAAGCGCCTGCGGCAACAGCACACGTTCTCTGCTGCGACGCGCTTATCCTGGCAAAGCGACTGCGGCAACAGCTGGATTCAGTCGCCCAGGTGACGGCGATGCTCGTGACTCGCTGGTGCTGCGTCACTCCCCCTACACGTCATCATCACGCGGGGAAAGTTTTCAGTCGCTGTCGTGCGCAGGGAGTCTGCGTACAGCTGTGGTTGAGCTGGCTGGCAGGGTCATGAGAGGACGCAGAAGCCCGATGACTTCATGGGTGGGTTCCCGCGGGTTGTGCCCCACATTGCGGAGAACGGACAGGGGAGAAATATGTGCCCCTTAGTAAATCGGGACCGGTAGATCTCTTGCCTCTCCGGCGGCGCTGCTCCTGCACGCCTCCGTAGGGTTGATGTAACAGCCATTACATGACTACGGCTCATTCTAACCACTTCGAAGCCGCCATTTTGGTGCTGCTGCTTTATTGTACGTATGCGGGTGCGTCCCCGGCACATCTTGGTCTGGTCACATTCAGAGCGGCGCCACAAGAGCCGCCCACCTTCAAACGCCCTGCGCCCGCAGCATGAGCCAGCATGACCGCCATCTGTCGCTACCATATCGCGCCACAAACAGCGCTCTTTATGTCGTGCGCCATGTGCCGCTGAAGCGATGTCGCCCTTCAACGGCGGCCACAGTTGGCATGCGCAGCTTTCGCGCCGCCAGGAATAAGATGGTAACGATCTTGAAAAAGGAAGAAACGGGTGAAGGGGATCTTTAGATTACATGAGCGACACGCTACAACGTTATAGACTAAAAAACGCAAAACCTGCCAACTTGCATGCCTTCATGCCCTGTACGGCGTAACCCGTGTCCGACTGGTGTGATTGGGGAGCATTCGTCAACTCCCTTAAAGAATTTCAAGCACATCGTGAATATGAAATGACGCAATGTCCACCAAATTTTCAGAGCCATTTCCTCAGGCACAAAGCAAACGTTTTTCTAACGGGACCAAATGCCAAATGTCATACGAAGTCCTGCGAATATGGACTAAATTCCTGTGAAATCACCTAGTGCCCAGTGTTGCGCCTCTTCGCTCAGGGGCCACAATCCCCTTGACTTTCTGTATTTGTTTTACGTAGCAAGAGGTAAGTCAAATGACCTGATTTAAAAACTCCTGCTTTTTATTTTCATGCATTTACCAAGTTAATTACGAATAAGACGCTTTGTTCAACTGCTTTGATTCATTATATCAGTAAGTTTCAGGAATATAAATATATTAAGAATATTACGAATGTAGATGAGACGGCATTAAGAACCTCATTCCTCGTACAATAAACAGCAGATTGGAGACACAAATGGAATATTTCGGCAGAATACCTTTATCGAAGCGAACATTCATTTCAATAAGGGCATGGACCCGAAATATCACATCTGTCTCTCCACTCTCCTGTTTAGTCTACGCGGAGTAAGGACATTAATGCTGTCTCATCTGCAGGCATAATGCTCCTCGCAAATGCACTTAGCATTTTACGGAATATTATGACTGTATTTGATAGGCATTGCTGCAGGGAACACGGACCCAGTCACTTAGTTCCGGCCGCAGCCGCCGGCGGAATACGCGCTTAAAGCCATTTCGCTACAAAGTATACGGCCATGAAATGCTAAAAAATGCAGCAAAACCGGTGAACGCAGATGTATCGCATAAGGGAGAGTTTTGCGGTATTCACCAAATTTTGTCTCACATAAACGAGTAATGGGGTTAAAATTTCTAGATTTTGACCCAAGACTGAATTCGGCCAGTGTAGTGACCTGTTGGGAAAGTTAAAATGCGCCCGTGTACAAATAAATCACATAAAAGGTGCAAAAAAATCGTGTCACTTCGTTCAAAAGTGGATTTCCATCCCCTTACAGAGCCCAGGCGAGAACCTGTCTTGATTCAATATCAAATTTAAATCACACCAAAACCGCTGAAAAGGCGATTGTTCAAAGATATGATGATGCCGTTAATGCCGTACATTAGTGTGACATTCATAGGTCGCTAGGCACATGAAAATGTTGAAATCCCCTGCTTAGCCGGCCTTTAAATCTAAGCACGGCGGCTCGGAAGACATTAGATATACTCGACCACTATAGAGGAATACCGTCTTTTGGATATCATAGTAGCATCGGACAGTATTTGCAGCAATGCAAATCTGCCGGTATGAGGAAGCTTCATGATGGTAAAAACCGGAGATAGGGGCTCCTTAGTAAGGATTTGTACTAGTCATATACTTATTCTGCAAGATGGTTGATGAGATAGGGGTTATGTCCCTTCCCATAATATGATAAAGGGAGACCTATCACCCACCCCCCCCCCCCCCCCTAGGCTTAGCAAGCCAATGGCGGGACCTTTATTGAGCACAATCTCCCCCTGCCCGCCTCGCTCAGCGACAAATCTTGTGATTCGCAGCTGTGTGGTGGCCATTCTCGCCGTCCATCTCATGGAACAGCGGACCGGGCGGCCGGCCGTCTCTCCTCTAATATTGTCCGAGACCTACATTGTTAATGGATTGCTAACCTTTACGCCTGGAGCTATGATTCTGCTTTGATAGACAACTTTGGCAAAAACAGTACGATGAAGCCAACGGATCAACGGTAACTCAGAGAAGCACGACACATAGCATTGCGTAGCATAATTTAAAGTATCTCGTTGGCATATATTGAACGTCATACCCATACTCATACCCTATACCTGTCATTTCTTTTTTTGCCACCTGGGAAGAGCACGGCCGATAACCCAGCCTGTGTGTGTACCCATGGTCTTACCCATACCGTGAAGGCTTTTAAGCCAAACCATCTGGCGATGTCATGCTGAGAAGGGCACCCCGAAAGTTTTGAATGTATCGGACCTTTAATGACCGCTTGTAGCTCCTGTCAGTTTTCTATTCATATTAGATGCTTCTGAACCACCGATCATGTTGCATTTTGGCCACCTTGCAAACATCTTGCAGCGTTCGAACTCGCTACCCATTGTAAAGTCGGGTTGTTTCCGTTCGTCCACGCTCCGGCCAGGGTTGACTGGTTGTCAGGTCCACGAACAGATGCGAATTTAAGCACAGGTCAAAGGTCACCACAGAGCACCCACCCACGACCATTTGGTACGGAGAGCAGCTGGCAGGAATTGCCACCGAGACGGCTCGAGGGGATGACAATGTCAATAGGCTAGGACATCCAGCTGCATGTACGCCGCAGGCTACTGTCGGATCATTGCAGACGCGAACACTCTAGGCCGAATACAATTTTAAATCGTATCATGCCAGATACCTTTGACAATTTTAGTTGTGCATCTTAGCTTATTGGTATCTTATTACCTTGGTATTAATCCTCGCCTCATCTGCATCATCATGTAATATTTTTTGTCACCTCGGTGATAATCTTGGACATTCTGACCTTCTCATGTTGTTTAAGCATCTTGGGAGCTCCGAACCTCAGTGACGTTTGGTGGCTTCCGATACAAGACCCTTTGATCGTTTCGCGACTCCGTTCAGCTGCTCGCAGAGGCTAATGGGTTGTTGTTGGTGTTGTAGCCCTAGACCCCAGCCATGAAAGCTCAAAGCTGGCTCTGCGAGACTGCACTTACGCGTTATAGTATTTCCGGCACTTCGAGCATTGATAACTAAGAAAAAGCTACCAAAGAAGCAGGTAAGGTCAGACATGGGACGTTCAGCAGACAGAAAACACTCACAAGTCCATTTACGTCCACGGCTTCT